CCGCGGGCTGCGGGAGCTACCTGCGCGCCCGGGCGGGGATCTCCCTTTTCCATCAGTTTTATTAATTTTATTTATTTTTAACCTCTCCGCTCCATTAGCCACAAAAGAGAGACCCTTCTCCTCTCTCCTGGGAGCAGCGAGCAATAGATTAAAAAAGGGGAGAAAAAAAAAAAAAAAAAAAAAAACACCAAGCATCAATCAGCCAAGAAATAACCGCTTAAAGGAGCCGGGCAGAAATTTCCCGCTTTCCCCCCTTTTTTTCCGCCGCCCATCTCCATGGTTTCCTAAGGTATGTTTCGCCTTGATAAATGCTGGAGATCTCCAGTCCCCTTTGGGGAGAAATTCCTTGGAATCAGCCCCGCCGGACAAGCCGCGAGCGGGAGCGGATCGGGCCCCGCGGCCGCACGGGGCGAACGCGCCGCTGAGGAGGGCACAAAAAAAGGAGCAAAAAGGAGATTTTTTATTAATTCTCCGCTTCGGAAAGGAGCTCGCAGGTTAGCTCAGCCTGGCCGCAAAATCACCGAGGCATCAGCGCGGTGCCAAAGGCAAAGAAAGCCAAGCCCGGCGCTTCCCAGCGCGCATCGCACGCCCGGATTCTTAATTATGAATCTCCTTAAGAGAAAGTCGGGCTTTTTTTTTTTTTTTTTTTTTTTTTTTTAGCGGGCGTGCGATTCAATTTCTGGAGTAATGCAGCTCTAGAAGCACAGGATCGAGAGAGCTTCTCCTCAGCAGCTGAATCCCACGCCTCTCCCATCTCTTTAACTAGCGAAACCTCGAGAATTTGATCACCATTTTTTCTTTTTCCACCCCAGAAGTATGATACAGGAAAAAAAAAAAGACGCCTGGGGATGAATTATTTAATGAAAAGTTGCTACCTTCTGCAATTACAAGAAGATTACTAATGTGGGAAGGTTTTCCATTTGAGATCCCGGAGTAATAAGCATTATTTTTTTAAGCGATTATCCAATAAATCTCTCTTTAAAGGGTGATAAATCCACCTTGAAAACCGAGGATTGAAAAAAAAATATTTCTGTGGGACTTCCGCATTTTTTTTTAATTGGGGGGAGGGCGGTGAAGAAAAAAATGGAGAAAGAGAGAGTAACACATTGAGCCCAAAGTGTTTGTTTTCTGAGCAAATCCAGGAAGGGGAGAGGGGTGTCTGCGGCCGGGCTCCAGTGGGCAGGCTCAGCCAGGCTGCTTATGGAGAAACGGGTTTCCGAGCTGGAAAAAACCACCAGAGCCTCTTGGGCAGCTCCTTGCCATGTCCAGAGAGGCAGAGTTAAGATAGGCAGATGCTTCACGCAATTAAAATTGCTCGCTGGCAAAGCGGCCAAGGGGAGAGGAGGTGGCTGCAGGGCGGGTGTTTGGTGCCTGATCCGGCTCTCTCTGGGGCTCCTCGTGGCTTCCCTGACCTCCTTGGGAAGGAGCTCCCGAGGTGTCCCAGAAGGCAGCCGCACCTCCCAGCTCCAGGAGAGCCTCAGGTGTCCCCGTGGTCCCAGGTTGCTCCCTGGGCACAGCAGCGGCTCTCCAGGAGGCCTCATCCCCAAGGACAAGGCGGATTTCACCCCGGCCGGGTGGGGAGGAGGCGGCGAGGCCGGGGCAGGGGCCGCAGGCCCTGGTGCCCTCTCCCTTCCTTGCTCACACGGAGGGCGTGATCCCGGCCCCATGGCACGGGGAAACACGGCTGGAAGCGCTCCCAGGCACGCAGGGCATGGAGCTCCCCAAAGTTGGAAGGAGGAAAGGAGCATTTCCCTGCCCAGGCTATATCTAAAGGGAACTTGTGCACATTGCGTGTGGACACGGAGCGCTCCTGCAGCAACACCAGGGCCCGGAGCGGGCAGCCCCTCCAGCTGCTCCCAGGGCCTTTCCCAAGGGAGAGCAAGACGCAAACCCAAGGATCAGGGATCTGGGGTTCAACCCCCTCGGCTCCGCGGCGCTCCGCGCCTCTGCCTCTCCGCTGGGCCAGGCTTAATTTGCCCAGAGTGCGGCATTAAGAGGATGTAAGCTGGGCCCTTGCACAATTACCTTATCGAAGCATGACATCTATGGAATGAGCAGAGTATTTTCATTAAAACAAATCAAAATAACAAGGCTGGCAATGGCCTTGTTCACTCTTTGAACCTGTAAGTGGCTTTAGAGATATCCAACGGCCCCGCACCAACTCCGCTGCCACCGCTTGGCCCCCGCTTAGTTTTCTTCCTAAAGCAGATTAGCTGCTCCTTGCTAAAAGGCTCAGCTCCACTTTTGTCAGGGTGCACAGACTAATTGGGTTTCCCCTGCGGACAGCGGGATTCCTGCGCTCGCGCCCGCGGCCCCCGGGGCGGGCACAGCAGCTCCCTCGCTCCCAAACACGTTAAAACAGAGCCTGGCCGTGTCGAAAGCGGGGCAGGGATGCAAGGGCTGCCCCTGGACGGGGCAAACAAGACGTTTTTCTAACCAAAGACGTGCCCTAAATAAGTCAAGATGCTTCTGCCCCAGGGATAGGACCCATCCGGGGCTTTCTAGGGAAAAAAAAAAAGAGGGATCAATCCCACGCAGAGGCGGCCGGAGCAGCGCACGGGCTCGGCCCTTTCTGAAGCGCAGGGGCCCCGACGGAGCCGAGCGGCCTATTTGTCTGGGTGAATTAAGAGCACAATCCCTTCTCCCCAGAGGGAGCAGCCGGCTCCTATTTATACATTTAGTCTTACAGGTGTAAAATGGGCTCCCTTTATGCTTATATTATATATATATATATATATATATTTTCCCCCATTTGAATTTCAAGGCTTTATTTCCTCCTTTGGATTCAAGTCTCCTACCTGAACCTGATTCTCCGTATTGCCATTAATTCCTTCATCACAGAAGTGATTTCCATTTAATTCTCTATAGTGGTTGTTAAGGTAGATCAAAAAAGGACATTTGCAGGGGTTGCTTCCTCCTCTTCCGCCCTCCTCGCGGCTCCGGCTCCCCGTGTCCTTGCGCTGGAAGCGCTGCCGCTCCCTGCTCTCGGCTCCCCATTCCCGCCCGCTTCCCAGCTTAGCCCTGAGGGATGAGCCTGGGAGGCAGCACAAATAACAATATGGGGAAAAATGGATCAAAATCCAGCTCCTGAAAGAGTTGGGAAGCCCTGAGACAGAGACACAACAAGGAAAAGCTTCTCTTGCTTCTCTTGCCAGCTGAATCTTCTGCCCCATA